CGTGGTCAGGCAAACTTTTCAGCTTGCCCAGTGTGGATACACACTCAGAGTAACATCACAAACATCATATTCAATCTTTGAAACAACTGATAAAATTAGTTTTCAATTGTAATGAATTTGATGATATATACAATAAGATAAAGTATTCATACTGTATACTGTACTGTACAACAGAAAAATACTCTACCTGCAGAGGACAGAAACTTGTTTAATATCCCAATGGATTCTAAGCTTGTGATGTCCACTATCCCAACTTTCCCTTGGACATCGGGATACTGCACAAATTTCAAGAGTAATACTGAGAGTAATACTCGATGTAAAGTGCATTTGATAATTCCTATCTATGCTAGTTTCCAAAAAAGTGAGCGACATACTTAAGGCCACTATTTTTTCCCCGTCCGATGGCTTTTTAGCCAGCCGCCTCGACGGCCATTATTATTATTTTCGACCACTAATATCATAATACAAAAAAAGTGCATTACAACTGTCACGAACAAAATTTTACACATTCGTTTGCAAAATACGAATCGGATGACAATTTCCCGATTGTAATACAAAATGACTGAAAAACGGCAAACTTTGCAAGGCTATATTATCCACATTTTACAACATTTTGCAACGAACCTTTGGAATATTACTAATTTTGTGATGCTCTTTCAAGCTGTGATGAAATTTTTGTCTAGATCGAAATTTTAGTTATAAGGGGAAAGGTCTATTGGCAACACATTGATTTACATTTTAATATCGTACTGGAAATCAATGATAATTTTAAACAGGAAATTATACAATCACGCACAAAGGTGACACTCTATTTCATTATGTAGAGTGTCGCCTTTGTGCATGCTAGTATCATTTTCTGGGGACAGCCCTGGATGAGAAACTAATATACAACAAATAGTGGCCTAATATACTTACACTCCTTGTGGAAAAGACGCTTTCTTTTGCCAGCGCTAGAACTTTCCTCCTGAAACAAAAGTAACGCATTAGAACCTAAGCGACAATCTTAACATAACATAGTTTCAATATCTTATATTATCTCCCTCGAAATCAAACAATAAAGTAAAGAAAATCGCCCTCACTTCTTTGCCGCTGCTATCGGGGTGTTCTTCTTCGTCCGCCATATTGAATCCGATTCGAACTTTTGCGGTTTTGCCGCCGCCGTGAAAAATGTCGCCGCCTGCGAGTAGAGCTTTTTTCAGAGTGGGAATAGCGTCTGCGAAGCCAGTAAATATAGGGGCTAGAGGTTTGCAAATCCGAATCCGATCGGATTCGTTCGGATTTCGGAACAAAAATATACATTTCGGATCGGATCGATAAAGTTGCTTCGTAATCGGATCGGACTTCGATATTCGAAATAAATGTCGCTAATCATTAACGCCCGTATTCAAAAAGCTCACTCACACTCAATGAGTGGACGTTCGATCTGAGCTCTCTTGAGTGTTAATGCTGTTTTTGAATAGCTGGAGGGCTAGTGTCATACCTTACTATATGACTACTCACCCTCCCTCAGATTGAACCTCCACTCATTGAGTGTGAGTATGAGTGAGCTTTTAGAACACGGGCGTAAGTCTATTATAAATGACATATATATAAAGTACTATACATTTCATTATCATGAAATGATAATATAAAGAGGAGTTAATATCCCTCTGTATTTGGAAACTCTGAATCAAAATTTATCTCGTAGCTTTTCTTGAATTTATTTATACTCTGAAATGTCCAATTACAATGTTACAATGGTATATGGGTTTCCCATTACCAGCAATAATAATTTAATATTTGTGAAATATTTAGATCATCTAGCTTTCGATATTTGCACTAAAACTACATGTCTCTATATGTTATTCTAAGGAAACTCACAATAACAAAGTAATTATACAATGCTAAGTTCGACTGTTGACTCATTTTCCTATTCTTAAACCCCGTTTACACTACGCTCAATTTTCGGTACGGCACGGATAAAATTGGTACCCGTACCACTGTTTTGGTTCTTGGACTACCTATTTAGGTAGTCCAAGAGTCGGAAAAGTGGTACGGTACCAAAAATCAAGCGTAGTGTAAACGGGGCTTTAGCCTTCGTCTTGAAACACTCAAATATATTGATGATATCTCATTGCGAATAAAAATGGGCTGGGCAAATACGAACGACTTGATATTACGGGACGAAAACATATTTTTCTAATATATTCTCAGAATTTTCAAATATTTTTCGCCAAACGGAAGAGGTTGTCTGAATGTGAGAAACTTTGTGGCATTCCAAGTTCTCTGCCAATTTCAGGTTTCCTGAAATGTTTTATCCACAAAATTTCGTTCTCTAATCGCAAGTTATTAAATCATCTTTAAATTTAATTGCCAGAACTAGATTATTCCTACATTTTGATTATTCTTTTGATAGCTATTCCTTATTATTCTTTTGAATTTTGACTATTCTTTCACAGAATAATTTCAACACTCAGGCCTATTTCAAAACGTCGAGCTTCTCATGTGCCGAACGCATTAAAAACAATAGATACTCAGCTGAAATGCCTCATTATCTAATTGTTTCTAATGCGTTCGGCCAGGGCCTATCAAAGAAATTCGGGGGCCCGGGGCAAATTTTTGTTTTGTGGACAAGGTTCAAAATTAAGGTTCAAAAATTTTTTTCCGTACAAATTCCTATTACAACATGGGTCAAATCCTTTTTTTCGATCAAGAAATGTAAAATTTGGGTTTAGAAAATTTTTTCTCATACCATTATTTATATAAAAAAACGTTCGAAATTATTTTTTTTAGTTTTTGCAAATTTGGGGGCCCCCATTAAACAGGGGGACGGGGCAAATTGCCCCCAGTGCCCCCCCCCCTCTGAAAGGTCCTGCGTTTGGAACATGAGAAGTGCGACGTTTGAAACAGGCCTGAGACATACGCGTTTGCAATTATCATGCAATGGCAAAAAATTGTAAAAATCGGCCATTGAAGATCGGTCATGTTTGGCCTGTTTTTAACTCAATCAGATACAAAACAGGCCTCATTCGGTAGCTAAAGGCCTATAATATATCCTTATCAGCATGGGAAAATTAAATGTATATATCCAACATTTAACGCAAAATAACATGCCAAAACTGGTCAGCTATTTTTAAAACAACCTGCACACATAAGGGCTAAATCATGAAGCCACTATTTCACTGGATAAGCGGATACGCGGTCAGAACTTGTTAGTATAATATTTCACTGGATATATACGCGGCAGAACTTAATTGTTAATATATATTTATTCTTAATAGATTAATAATAAATAGATTGATAGATCAAATTCTCATGTTACAGGTAGCTATATATAATTTAGTGGATACGCGGATACGTGGATACGCAGTCAATTTTATATAGTTAAGCGATCAAAAATGGTCAGCGGAACTAGTTGACTGGGTATCCACGTATCCCCGTATCCACTAAAATATGCAGCTAATACCTATACAGGGTGTATAATAAAAAACTGAACAGATTTGAAATTGCTCTCAATTTCGCAAAACAACTATTAGTATCCAGTTTTTTATGTATATAGCTTCTTTGGGTATTTATAATGTAGAATAATGAAAAACATTTCTCCAACTCAAATTTCGTGAACCAGGGGGGGGGGGG